CCGTGTGAACTATTATACAGCCCGTGTGAACTATTATACAGCCCGTGTGAACTATTATACAGCCCGTGTGAACCATTATACAGCCCGTGCTAACCATTACACAGCCCGTGTGAACTATTATACAGCCCGTGTGAACTATTATACAGCCCGTGTGAACCATTACACAGCCCGTGTGAACTATTATACAGCCCGTGTGAACTATTATACAGCCAGTATGAACAATAATACAGTCCGTGTGAACCATTATACAGCCCGTGTGAACTATTATGCAGCCCATGTGAACTATTATACAGCCCGTGTGAACTATAATACAGCCCGTGTGAACTATTATACAGCCCGTGTGAACTATAATACAGCCCGTGTGAACTATAATGTGTGTGTATGTGTATATCAAGAAAGCAGGTATACACATGCACACATATAATACAGCCCGTGTGAGCCATTATACAGCCCGTGTGAAAAATTATACAACCCGTGTGAAAAATTATACGACCCGTGTGAAACATTATAAGAGTCGGCACGAAGGTCTAGGGTCGTCAACCATATCTGCTGGGTGTGTCAGCGGCTACTCCGGACGTTCGACATTAAATCAATACTTTATTCATAAATAACAGTACACTTATAATGGGGCAAAGTGTTCACATAAGTAGGTAAGTAATTATCAAATGACTACGGGCTCACCATAGCCCGTGCTGCTTGGAACATTTTGTTCCAAGCAGCGAATCTTAAACATATCAAATGAAAGGCACCAAGTCGGGGAGGTTATATAGTGGACACATAAAAATACTGTACCTAAAAGTGCCACGATAACACCAGCTCGTATAGACATTATCTGAGTCAGACTCAGACACTAAACTGGTAACACTTTATACGAATCATTTCAGTCCTGGCTGGACTAAACTGCTTAACACTTCTGGCACACAGTGAGTGATATTTAGCTAACAATCTGAAAGAAGACATTTTCTAAAGACAAAGTGAGGTTTAGCAATAGAGCAGATGTGGTATACGTGAACTTTATCAATAGAGCAGATATGGTACAAATCGCAGCTTCGTGTAATCTTTTACTGATGACACAAAAATCTTCATGAAAATTATTTCTGTTGAAGACACTGAACAACTACAAGCTCATATTAAGAAAAATTAAACAGTTTCCTGCAATGTGGGCCTGCGGGCCGCTCCAAGCAACAGTCTGTTGGACCAAACTCTCACAAGTCAAGCTTGGCCCAAGGCCGCGCTTGGGGAATAGAAAAACTCCTGAAACCCCATCCAGGTTCAATCCAGGTACATAATGAAATACTTTGTTTACCGATGCGTTTATGGACACAGCTCTACAATTATCAGATGACAAAGAAGCTCCGTAGTTCTTTGGAATTGTGAATAAGTAGAGAGGTGTTTGTCACAGACGGCGATGAGCCACGGGAAAGCCTGTAAGATGCAGATGGACAAACACAAAGTCGAGCTGTGACTAACAGATGTTGTCACAGCTCGAATTAGACTTGGCTACAAGTATTTCTGGCAGTTCGGCTTGTATAGGGATCTAGATGAAGTAAAGTGTAAAGTGTGTCGACAAAGACAGCGACACACACTCGAACACTATATCTTGGATTGTAGTAAAATTGAGCCATTTAGAGATAAATCTAAGCTCACTCTGTATGATATGGCAACCTATCTTATTACCATGGATAAAATACCTGAAATCCTTGCACTGTATCCATATTTCGCTTCCAGTAGATGAACGACATATGAGATTCAGAAATAAGTAGTGTATTGTGAAGAATAATAATAAACAGAAGCTCCCCTATGACTCTGTAATATCTCCATTGGTCGAACTATTATGTATTAGCGATAAGACCTACCATTAATGTATAATGACTTACTGTAAATTTATAGCTCTTGAAATAGAACATTCTCTGTAACTAGCTGACATGTAACCATAAGGTGTGAAGGAGTGATGAAATTGTTTATGTAATAATCTAAGATGAGGTCTGACAAAGACCTTTTGTGCCCTCTGTAATGCTTTTTGAGCGCTAGCCGCCTCCAGCGGCAACAATCAAAAAACAGTTTGGGCGTTCCATGCAGAGGTTGTCAGATTGTATGTTAAAGGTACTTAATATCACAGCTCCCAATTTTTAGCTTGCTTACATCTTCCTCAACCAAACTCCTGACCTCAGACGTCAGCTGTGGGTGTCGATGGTATAACTCCTGACCTCAGACGTCAGCTGTGGGTGTCGATGGTATAACTCCTGACCTCAGACGTCAGGTGTGGGTGTCGATGGTATAACTCCTGACCTCAGACGTCAGCTGTGGGTGTCGATGGTATAACTCCTGACCTCAGACGTCAGCTGTGGGTGTCGATGGTATAACTCCTGACCTCAGACGTCAGCTGTGGGTGTCGATGGTATAACTCCTGACCTCAGACGTCAGGTGTGGGTGTCGATGGTATAACTCCTGACCTCAGACGTCAGCTGTGGGTGTCGATGGTATAACTCCTGACCTCAGACGTCAGCTGTGGGTGTCGATGGTATAACTCCTGACCTCAGACGTCAGCTGTGGGTGTCGATGGTATAACTCCTGACCTCAGACGTCAGCTGTGGGTGTCGATGGTATAACTCCTGACCTCAGACGTCAGCTGTGGGTGTCGATGGTATAACTCCTGACCTCAGACGTCAGCTGTGGGTGTCAATGGTATAACTCCTGACCTCAGACGTCAGCTGTGGGTGTCGATGGTATAACTCCTGACCTCAGACGTCAGCTGTGTGTGTCGATGGTATAACTCCTGACCTCAGACGTCAGCTGTGGGTGTCGATGGTATAACTCCTGACCTCAGACGTCAG